ATCTTTTCAAAACATGCATACAATAAGCCACATACAAATGACAATAAGCCACATACAAATGACAATCACCTAAAAAATAACAAATATGTATGTAAATTGAACCAGGATTACAATCACATCATTAACATCAAATAAGTTATGTGTTCCGTAGCGGCTTTACAATTTCACCATGAACACCAAACATTTGTACTGTACCATCTAAGATTTACAAACGTAATACAATCAGTGTCATATCATCAGCTCTACAAGCTCATAATCAGACTTCAAACAAGTGGTGAGTGCCATTTTGTCAATAATGTAACTCAAATTTTTAAAAAAAACTTGTATCAAATAATAAAAAATTAAAAGTAGTGAAATGTATCAAATTTCTCTTATAAAATAAATGTGATCTGCCCACCTCAACATATACATATATACGTGCACTCTGCTTGCTGCCTGTTGTGAAAAAATAGTTTTATTATGAAGCTACATAAAATGTGTTTTTTTTGTTGTTGTTGTTTAGGTCTCCAATGAATAAAACCAACACAAATTTATGAGAACAAAAAATAACCAACCCGAGGAGACAAACTTTCAGACTGAGTATATGTTCACTACCATGCCTATCAGGTTTTCTATTCCACTTAAGAGTATAATATGATGCTTTTTTATTTTGCGTGTCCTACATTACCGTACCTAAATTTGCACCGGTACAAAAAAATTGAATAAAGCATAAATTAAGTAGAAGTATTTTAAATTTCAATGGCTCAAGCAAAAATTATATTTACCAACACATATTTTTAAAAAAATAGTATTATGTCAAGAATGTAGTGAATTTCATTTTACTCTGTGATATTTATCTATAAGTAGCAGTGGTGAACTAAAAAATAGCATTTTTAAAAACTTTAATCAAAGGGAAAAATTTAAATCACTGCTCTCATTATGACTAAAGGGTTCATATCTAGTTCATTCTCAAGACCCATAGCCAGTACACGTTTTAATCATATCTCAGAATGAAGAGATAACAACTTTTTAACTATTTTTATTCCATCTGAGAAGATTGACAGATATGATATGATCAATCAATATAATTCTCTGTGTATGAAAGAAAGTATGTAGTTAGTAATGGCAAGTTCAATAGCATGCAAAATAAAATTCCCCCGCTAAATGAGATTCTTAAAATACAGCAAGTACATTTTGGTGCATAATATTTTCTTTTGCATTAGGGAAATTTAAATATGATGTATAAATCTATGGTGTAAAAGGTGGTGGGACAATAGAATATTACTGTAGTTTAGGGGTGTGAAAAAGTGTGGTTGCATACATGGGGTGGGGGGGGGAGCACTAATTGCGATTTTTATAAAGTTTCTTGAATGCTTGTTTTGTCCAGTAACTTTAGTAGGTGAGAGGTTCACGCATTGCAGTCATCATTGTTTAGCAGGCTATAACTAGTAATATATAATTCACCATAAAAATTCAATAGGTTTAAGGTCTTATGAAGAGCATTTTATTTGTAAAAAAAATTATATGTGAGCAAATGCTGAGTTGTACAATCCTTTTTTTCAAAAAAACATCAATGAAATTACATTTTGTATATTTTTAAAAACAATCAGTATACAAGATTGTGTACTTGGGCATCTATTCAATAATTTAAAGTAAGGGTAAGTCACTTTTGACAAGATTTATTTAAAATTGCATTGCCATTTTTTTTAAATGCAGATTCCAACAACAAAAGCTCCAGTCACATTCCATTATCTAATTTCTTTTAAATAAAACTTAATTTTGGCTTATATCACAAAAAATGTTGGGGTTATTCCCTAAATTACCCCCTGAAGACCAACAACCACAAAAAAAAACCCATCAAAAACTATGCATCAGCCCCAAAATATGCATCTGGAAAGGAAGATGACAAAACATATTCTCAACAGCTTTATTTACATACATTACAGATTTTCCTTGCAATCAATAAAAATGAAGTGCATTCCATCTAATGTACTGTTTACACACTATTTCAAGACATTACCAATCACTGGAGTAGAAGTATTACGGTTTATAGTTTAATACCGCTTACCAATTTAAATATTATCTAAATGCAACTACGAGAGAACAAAATAAAAGAATTCAAATCAATTTTAAGCTTTCAGAATGGAATAAGAGATTTTAGACAAACAACAAATTGAAATAATATTATAAAAACCAATCAACGCTGGCTATAATTCATGTTCTGTTTGTTTCGAACAGCATTGTATCACAATTTGTAAAAACACTGCTACAAATTACCTCCATAAAAAAAAAGATTTCAAATAAATCAAGTGAATGTTTGTGGTTTACACTGTGTGCAGTTTCAATCCCAACTACAACTTTCAAAGTCACGGGAGACCTTAATGCTCAAAAACATTGTTGTCACACCCCTCCCCCCCCCCCAACCTCCCATACCAATCCAAATTTTAGTTATAAACTATCCCTGGGATCATTAAAAAAAAAAAAAAGCTGTTGCTGTTGTTTTTTTCCCTCTAATTTAAGTAGAATTTCAGCGGTACATCATCTGTCAATGAACAGGCCATGCCAATCAATAAGACATGCATATAATTAACATTCTTTCTTAAGTTGTTCAGGCTATCACTTTACAAACCATTCTGTAAATGTGTATGAAACTAGTGCACTGTCCCTGCCAAACAACATCAATGAGTGTTTCCACACATTAACAAATAAAGTTGTAAGAACTTTGCACAAAAAGTCATTTCTTGGAGCCAAACTTAGACTTACGTTTTGTTTCATAGGATAGCTGGATTTATAAGCAAACAGTAGCCTATTACAACATAAATGATTGAATTAGACAACTTTGTTAAATTGAATGCAGGATACTGGCACCACGTCCTATCTTATGATGCCACACATCTGAAAAATATTCATTCAATAACTCAAGGTTCAAAGTTTTTGTGCATTGCAACTTAACTCTTTATATTTTATGTACTGTTGGGTACAAGACATTTTTATTGGCATGAATTGAATGTTATCACAAGATGACTTTCCTAAAATTTGTTCTACAGTTTAACAAACCAACCCGGTTGGTTAAAATAATAATTTCTACGATTATATATATATATATATATATTAAATTATATATATATATATATTTATTTATAAATTTATGTTTATATTTATGCATATATTTATATTTTTTTCAACTCATTTTTAGTAAAAGTTGTGCCAAATAAAATTACCAGGTATATAAAAACAACTTCTAAACTAATCCAAATGTATTTATATACCAGATTTTTCAAACAAAATATAATAGTGTATATACTTAAATAGTACCGACAGAAGATAAGATACAAAAGCTTATAAAGCTGCAGGAATATCTCATTGAACATGTTTTTAATACTTCAGATATATTTCAACTTTTTTGTTACACAGGGGTAACAGCTCAAAAACAAATTTTCATGGAAAAGCTTGATGGTTTACAGGGAACACCTTTAAGACTATGTTTACAAGAAAACTATACAAATCTACATGAACTTCTGAATATCTATATAAAAAAGAGAAGAACAATGACAGTGATTCCCAACTTTTGCTTGATTAAGTCAATGACAGTTCACTGTGGTGTTCTGTCTCTTCCCTGCCTCTTTTAGAGCAAAAATTACCACTTAGTTATCAGCAAGGTTGTGACATGGGACAAAGAGTTCATGATTTAGACTCTGAGTACAGAACAAGATTGATGTTGTCAACTCCTGTATTGTTGTATTACTTGGCCACATTTTTGTGATAATAACAAGGAAAACCTGGACACCATAGCCCTGGGTCGCAGACTCCAGGCTGGGCACCGATGAAGAAAGCCACCATGAAGTAACTTGAAGCAAAGAAATAGGACCATAAGATTTAATAAATAACTAAGTGATACATGACAGCGACAGTCAAATAAATAACTAAATGAGAAATTACAGAGACTATCAAATAAGAAAAGGGAGGAGGGGGGGGGGGGAGAAAGAGAGAGCTGTTTCTGCTCCACACCCAGTCAAAAGTCTCAGCTACATACATCAGCTCTCCTGCTGGCCCAGAAAAGAAGCTTTGATCCCTTCACCATTTCTCATTATCTATGGCCAGAGCGTCAACTTCATGTCTGACCACTAGGTAGTAGCCCATCACTGTCTTTACAACTGAAGGGTTTAGTCACCATCACGGCATGGGATTGGACAGACTCAAGCCCAGGTTTAGTCTCAAACTCATGACCACATAAACATTCATAAATCCCACTACTCAGACTGAACGTTGGATAAATCTGCATTCACAAACGTCACTTGAAACCTCTGCACTTTCCTGGGGCTTGACAGGCTCAGCGATTCAGTGCCGTCCGCATTAACGATGCAGTCTGCGTCATCCACATTGTTGGCACTTTCAGTATTGCTCCTGTCTGACAAATGCAGGTCACCTGTGGAGAGAGAACTCTTACTAGATGTGGAGGGTGTCCGCTGAGCTGGTCTGAGTTTTACTTTGTCTTTCTCTGTTCGATTAAAGGAATGGTTGGAACTGCTGGTTTCAAGTCGACCATTGTATATGTTTCCATTGAGTGAGTCCAGGTGGTCTAACGCAGGAGCTGAGGAGATCATTTGAGGATCTGCTGCCTGAACAGACAGCTGCACAGATGTTAGGCCATTACTTGGGACCTTCCGAAAAAAGTCCTCTTTGGCTCGAGCTATAGTTCTTTTAATATCTGACATGGGCCGATGTGGAGAGTTTTGCAGAATTTCATAGGATGAGGCCAGTTCTGCACCAGAATCTAAGCTGAAAAAGACATCATTATCCACTGTCCTGTCATCAGAGGCATTGGACAGTAATGTGTTTTGTTTGGTCTCGTCATCTGTGTCTGACACAACACCATCGGAGGGAACATTCGAATCAGAGGAGGAGTGAGAGCTGGCAGGGTTCTCAGATGAGGAGTCATCCAAGTATTGAGCGTCTGGTTCTCTTGGCTTTATCATGGGTTTGCTCTGGTCCTTGAGATCAACTGGCTTTTTTATACATATACTTGTACTACATTTGCTGGATGCAGCTGCTGCCTTTTTCTGTCGCCTTGCACTGTCTGCAGAATAGTGTCTTTTCCTTTTGATGACACCATTGTTGCCACAATGGCTCTCCGAGCCAGATGGACAGGCTGCGCCGATGGGATCTTTGGAGATTTTACTGCTTGATACTGACCTTGATATCTTCTTCCTCTCTGCCCAAAGTTTTCTCTTGTCAATCTGCTCAACGTCTTCATCCGAATCGCTTGATGCAAGGTGTCGAACTGAAGGCAAACTGGCTGCAGAGCTGGCAGATCTGCGGTAAGTAGGGTTTGATGCTGATCGCTTCCGCATCCCTGGTGGCACATCGCCACTCGCCCTTCTGTGCCTTTGTTTTTTCTTGTCAAACTGATGGAAGCGGCCATCCTGGTGAATGTGCTTCTTCAAGGGCAAGGACACTAGCAGCCGGGATGAGACATCCTCAGATTTTTCAGAGCTCTCTTCCTCCAAAACGACACAGTGCTCAACACTTTTGCTTCTGATTGGATAGTTTTCTAACAGCTTGACCTCCACTGCTAGATCCTTGTCCTGTGTGATTTTCTCCAGAAAAGCCTTGTAGGATTTAACACTGTCGTACTGGCTGCCATCAGCTCTTTGCAAAACCAGAGATTTGATAGATGTAACTGTGTCATGGTAATACTGAGGGTCATTGATGGACAAGGGAAAACCATTACCAAATGCCCTGAAGGAATTCACTGTGTCATAGACAGAAATTCCATCACCTCTCATGTCAATGTTACAGAATTCCTTGTCCCCAGCTTGGATGATCCCATAATTCACCTCACTGTCCTCACCAAATTCCACGTCACCCCTGGCTTTGAACCTTGCATCATCCCGAGACCACTTATAGAATCGATGGATGACACAGATGACAAACAGAAGAATAGCCAGTATAGGTAAAACTGTCAGATTGGATGTGGGAGACTCTTTGGACTGGAACAGCCAACCAGCCGTATCAACTTCCTGAGAAACACTTCTGTTTCCTATAAGCTTGGTGCCAAGTGAAGACCCAGCCTCATGGAAGGTTTCCTTTGACCGGTTGGAGCTCATATTTCCCTGTTCGAAAAATGCTATCTGAGTAAATCAATTAACATTGTGGTGGTAACAACTTATCAGTTGTTGTTTTTTTTTTTATTTTTTACTGGTCAGGTTTTGTTCAACAGCTCTGAAAGCATTTACATTCTTATCCCTAAGTTGCTGCTATAAAGAAAATCCTTGAAGTAACAATGTGATATTCCATATATTTGCTTCTTTAGCTACTAAATATTTGATCAAATATCACATTTTTGTTTACTACTCCTAGATGACCCTAAAAAAGAGGCATTTTTAAAAAAACGAGGCTTTGTCTTGCCTAAGCCATGATTAATTTTGTTGCTGGATTATTTTCATATGACTGATAAAATGTATGTTTTGTTTTGTCCACCAACTTTGTGAGCTGCACATTTATGTCTCTGTTTCTGGTAGTTTTAGAACTGCAAACATAGTGGTCAGCCAGTAGACTTGACTTTCCAATGACAGTTTACTAATCCAAGTAACTGGAGCTGCATCAATTCATTAAAATGACATATTCACTGAGCATTGCTTCTCATCTAATTTTCTCTGAAATGATACAATAATATATATATTAATAAAAAGCTGTTTTTATATTAATGAGGGCTAGTTAGACAGTTGATTAATCGTAGTTTCTTTTTTTTTCATATTTATTTATAATTTTACTCATAAATCTAAAATTTGATAAATCAGAGGAAATATTATACATTATATTGCAAAGAGGGTTAGAGAAGAACAAATCCTATTGGTGACTTAACATGGTATTCAGGATGAGGTGATTTTTAAACTAAAACATTTAGCAAAATTCAATTTTTTATTCACTCTACTTACTGATTTACTGGATGTATGAGGAGACTGAGAACATACTTTTTCTGCTTGTTCACCACTAGTAGGCACTATATACCTGGATTACAATAATATTATTCAATTTAGGAGAAATAACATAAAAACAAACTAAAAGGATTTATCAATCTTGAAAAGTTCAAACACATGCAACACATCTTGATATGCATTGCAGTATTCATTTCATTAGAATTATAAAAAAAAAAAAGACAATTTTGACAGCTAAGTTCAATATTGCTTTGCCACAATGATTTAAAATATTTAAATAGTTATACTCTCCATTAACATAGTAATTTACTATCTAGTAGTCTTCTAAATAGGTAGGTGAAACCAGGACACATGGAACCCATTGGTAAGTGTTAATGTTATGCTTTGCCACTTGGCATTAATCACATTTGGGGAGAGGGTTTCTGTTTTCATAATTATAGATAAAATTAATGTTACATGAACCCTGGCTGGTTTAAGAAATACTTAGAATGAAAGTACGAGTAGTAGTTAGTAGGCCTAATTAAAATTATATGAGCGGCTGGTGAATTTAGGAGAAGATTAGTAGTAGCCTCCTTTACTTATATAGGGCCCTATACTATATTACAAAGGCAGTGTCTACACGTCCGGTGCGCCGGAAGAATACTTTATCGAGATATTCGTCCGGCGACCAGGTCACATGACCGCCGTAACTAAGTGGCGAGAGATATTTTGTCCATCAGCCTTATCACGTGACCGCGAATGATTCAAAACTATTGTTAATTTTAAAATCTATTTCTCTACCAAGTAATGTACATCTTGCATGTAAATGTAAATAATAGAAAAAAACTGAAGTGAAAGTGGCTTGTAAACATTTTTGTTTAGTTTGCTATTTGAGTTTGTGCACCACTAATCCATAAAATAAATTAGGGGCCAGTATGGAGAAGGCAACCAATAAAAGTCAAAGATTTCATTTTAAATTGTTTAAATTGCTACAAAATATTTAAAAACTTCTCATGAAACTACTGTTGCTGATGAACATGATAATTTAAATATAGTATAAAATATTTTTAATTAAAACGGGAAGAAAAAAAAAAGATCCTATCCCCGATATTGATCCTCAAATCATAATATCGTCAAGTGACCACTCTCCCAGTAGACCACACAAGATCTACGACTAAACTGCATGTCGTTCCGAATTATAAAAACCACTATTTGTCCAGCGCGCCGGAAGTGTAGACACTTCGTATTACAAAATATAAATAGCCAATAACGGCAACAAAAACTCAAAGTAGGCCCTATCTACGGAGTGTTATTAAGTGATTTTAATATTAATCACATTCGCAAGCGTCTAAAAAAACTATAATTACTATTTTAATAAATTATATGATTATGAAATGAGATTATTGACAATTGAGATATACATTTAATATGCCTTGCGATCAAAAATGCTTTTACTTTTCAAAACAATATAAATAAATAATAGACCTGATTTACTTTAACTTTATGACTAAGTTAATAATTAGTTAGTAATTAGGCCAAAATAAACTTTAAACTGTATTAATTTAAATCAAACTTTTAAATTAAAATTAAAGGCCTTCTTATTCTAGTATGACTGAAACTACTACAATTGATACATAGGCCTTAATATACATAATCAGCAGTATTATTAATTCAGATATTCAAAGTTATTGTCATTCATGATTCATATCATCACAGAATCATCATAATTTATAAATAGACCGTTTGCAATAATATTCAATTCAAAATATAGATTCTAGGCTCTAGACTCTGAGTCTCGAATTGATTTCTAGCAGAGTTTAACAAACGAATGGAGATAGTAATTTAAATAAACAAAAATGCATCTGTTTTATTCTGCTGTAAATTTTTATTTAGAAAGTAAGTCTTTGTTTGGGCATGACGAAAGGAAAGGCCTAATAAATTTTAGATACAAATAGTATGACAAATAGAAATATAGGTCAAATCAAAATGATCCAAAACCAAGTCCCGACCAAGGTAATAACAATTTAAGCACTTACAGCTGACGTAGGGATCTTCTGCAGCTACAAATTACTTGAACAATAGTAAAATTAAATTTAAGTTCAGATAAGAATATTTGGTGGAGAACGATAACAATAATTGAGAAATGTATTGGTATTAAGAAAATGCACACAGATCTGAATTTCAATATTATTTCTAAAACTAGTTCTTACTGTCGGCACAGCCGAAATTCGGTAATATCCGGCTGTATTGAGCATGCGCATAGTAATGAAACAGCTGGTAAGGGTTGAAGTTGAAAGGTTATTAGGTCAGGACCATGCCACCACCCCACCCCCCTTCCAAGCCAATCAAAATTAAGGAAACTAAAGAGCATTTAAAAAAATAGTAATGCCTTAATTAACTTAATTCCCAAACTTAGGGCTTGCCCTCAAAGTGCCAAAGCCATTGGGCTTGGTTTCAACTTTAATATATATATATATATATATATGTATATGACATCCGCTAAGTGGCGTAGCAAGAAAGTGTGAAGCAGAGACGAACTTTGTATTTGCCCCCCCCCCCCCCAAAAAAAAAATGAATCTTTTTTTTTTTTTTTTTGTAATTTTTTTTTGTTACCATTCACATGTAAATAGCATAACTTTTTCTTCGGTTTGAGTTATTTCCAGGTTTCACCGTACGTCACATTGTTCGGCGGGAGGAGATGGTAATCAATGGCTTCCAAGCAAAATGGCGTTTAGGGTCTGGGGTGGGTGTTGTTTGAGCCCCTTCCCAAGACAAATTCAATATACAAGGATTCGTTTTGGGGCTTAGTTCCGAAGTCCCCCCCCCCCACACCACCCAAAAAAACCCACCAAAAAAACCCCAATATTTCTGTTTAACTGGATCAGCATGAAAAGCTATTTCAGTTTCTCGTAATAGTGAGTAGTAATTGATGATAACATTAAATTATGCCAAGCGTATTTTCATCCCTAAAATCTAAAATCCCTTTTTTTTTCGTTCCCCTTGGCCAAATATGCCGCCCAACCCTACGACACTGCATCCGAATAATTATCAACCAAATAGCTACATTATAGATATTACAAGGCTTTTATCTACTCTAAGAAAAGGATAGGCCTATATATATATATATATATATATATATATATATATATATATATATATATATATATATATATATATATTATAATATATATAACAAATCTTTTATATCTACTAAAAAAAATAAATATATATATATATATATATATATATATATATATATATATATATATATATATATATATATATATATATACATAGGAGCCAGAATGATCAATTCATTGATCGTTTGCCCTAAAATAAAGAAGAAATATATATAATTTTTGTGCCGGTAAGCACCGGTACGGCGTACTGACACCTTTTTCAATGTGGGGAAAAAATTATTACTTTTCTTGTATTTTAACGTTTATTATTAATTAATACGGTATACTAATAAAGTAATAATAAAACAATTTAAGTTGGTTAATTATAAAATAAAATTGTTTTAGACATTGAATATCTTTGCAGTTGTGATTTAGCTTGCATCGAGGTGCGAACTGGTAGTTAAAAGTTAGGCAATCCATCACTGAGTACCGGCACCTATTGTTATACAAAAAAAAGCACTGTATAATATATATATAATTATACTTTGTGTATATAAGAAATTTTTAATTATTTACTACTTTTTAAGAGTGTCTAACCCCGTCTTTGAACGAAAGTCTTTTAACTACGTTTTCGTAACCCCCCCCCTCCCTCCCCCTCGATGGCCCCTGTAGTAACTGCTCGGCGGAAGATGACGCATTATTTCCCTTTAAATGGGATGCATTTAAAAGTGCAGCCATGTGTAGATCATTATTCACAACTGTTATATCAACTAATATAGTACATTGCTTTTTAAAAACTTCTCTATACAAATTAAAACAGGAAACATGTCATTGGTGCATATTTGATTTCTTAGTATTATTTTTTTTTCATCATTGGGTTGTTGTCTATTCATGAGTAAGCTACAAATGTATAAAATGAATCTGGTTATATCATTTATTATAACTTAATTGTTTTAAAAAGGGTAAATTTTTCCCGTACGATTGAGAGAGCATGATTGA